GCGCATTCATGTTTTAGATGATTTGATATAGACCAACAGTTCGTCAGCCGTTATCTCGGATTCCTCGGAAAAAAATATTGGGAATCTGATGGAGGTTGGTTGCGTTTTCAGCAACCTCAGCTTCGTGAGGGCTGACGATGTTTTTTCCGAGATTAAGGGAGCTGACGAAGTGTTGACCAATCGCGGCTGCCTTCTCTTCAGGATTTATCAGATGAACCACTGGGTCGCCGTAACGATCTAGTGGGGTCAGTGGTGGAATGGGCCTTGGCTTTTAAGAATTTTGGTTAGTTACAAAAGGACTTAGCACAATCTGGGAGAGAGCAGATCCTTTTTAGCAAAGTCCTGATTTCTGAGGTCCACCATCCTGGCTTGGATGGTTTTTGTTACAGTGGGTCTTAAGGACAGGCAGACCAGAGCGTTGGTACTGCCTTCGGCTGGTGTTACGGAGTCTTATAAGGTCTTTGGTAATTCTGTCAAGGTTCAGAGTATTACTCACCTGTCTGGATACTGGCACGTGTAACTCCCTGACCCGGGAAATCGCTTCATCGATGGAGTGTAGACACCGGTCGATGTCTTCAGTCGTTTCCGGGTGGACGTCATAGTCGATACTGGTGTCAATGCAGTGTTGGAACTGCGACCATTCTACCCGATGGTAGTTTCGCCGTGATGCTTGGAACTTGTTGATTGAGGAACCTGAGCTGAGTTCCTGATACACGACAGGTTGTGTCGATGGTGGCGTGAGCACCGGACCTACTCAACCGGGTGGGAGTGTCCAGACTCAACATGTTGTACTGCGCGTCCTGCAGATCGTTGTTCAGGATGGTGCCGTTTTGATTGCGCCGACTGTTGCCCCAAGCTTGATGTTTGGCATTCAGGTCGCCAGCGATGATGTATTTTTGCCGCCGCCGAGTCAGCTTGATGATATCTCGTCGAAGGTCCGCAGCCGACCCATCCCTGTTGTTGACTTGTTTGGGGCAGCAAGCCGCAATGATGGTGATGGGGCCAAGCGATGTGCCAACTTCAACCCCGATGACTTCGATAATTTTGAGTTGAAAGTACGGCAGCAGGTGGCAGTTGATGTTATGCCTCACAGCAATGGCTACTCCCCCTCCTCTTGCACTGGTTCTGTCGAGTCTCAAGAGCCGAAAGTCCGGTAGATGTTGACTTCCGGCCTGAGATGGGTTCCATTATATAGCGATTTTGTAACCGCTTTGCCTCACTAGCAGCAATCATAGCTATTTTTTGGTGGTCCAGTCCTTTCTGATTTTGAAATTCTTCCACGCTTCCATACTACCAAAGTGGGTATCACTGCGATTGTGTTTGCCCAGTTCGGTTGCTTTCTTCCAATTTATGAACCCTGTAGGAATCGTTGTAATAATGTTTTGCGTCATGCTCTTCTTTACAGGTTAAAAATATAAACCAAAGGAAATATATTCTTCAAAGTACTGGTATCATCTTTTATTCAGTTACCTTTCTCAAATTTTGTTCAGTACGTTTTTGTATATTTTGAAGTCATCGTTACAGTTTATTTTTTAGTATTTCAAGGTTTTGTAAGCCCTTATATGCTGTTGTAGTTACACTTTACTATTACCGTTGCGAGTACGTTGAACTTGACCATTTTCAGTGAAAATTGTAGTTCTAATTCTTCTCAGAAGTCCTCTGGAATTATTTTTAGAACTCTTCTTAACTTTCACTCAGAACACCTTGGAACTGAAATTCCTGTAGAGTTTCAGAAGAATTTCCTCAGTATTATCCAGAAATTATTCCCGAGATGAGCTAGAAATTATCGGTACTTCCTTGAAATTTTCCTCAAAATCCCTTTGGAATTTCACTCAAAATTTAATTTTCTCGGTATTTTTTTCGGAATTATCTAGGAACTATCTGCAGGATTCACTAGAAATTATTCGCAGAATTTTCTTGGAATACTCCCCAGAAATCCTTTGGAACTGTCCTCAGAATTCAATATCCTTGAGGTTCTTCTCGGATTTTTTTTTAGAAGTCTCCTGAGAGCTCCTTGAAATTCTTCTCAGAAGTCCACTGGAATTATACTTAGAGCTCTTCATGATTTTTTTTTCTGAATGAGCTAGAAATTATCCTCGGAATTCGCTTGAAATTTTACTGAAAATCCCTTTGGAATTTCACTCAAAATTTGATTTTCTCGGTATTCTTTTCGAAATTATCTTGGAAACATCTGCAGGATTAACTAGAAATTATTCGCAGAATTTTTATGGAATTATCCCAAGAAATCTTTTCTTTTGGAACTGTCCTCAGAATTCAATACCCTTAATGTTCTTTTCGGAAGTCAAATTTAAGTTCTCCGTCCATTCACCAAAACGTTGTAGTTTTTTTTTACCAGAAATAATAAAGCTTGCCCCTCCATTCACCAGAACTGTGCAATTTTTACATCAGGAGTTTTCAATTCAGCTTTCCCCTCCATGCAGCAGATTGTAGCAAATCTTACACCAGAAATTTTCAATACAAACTTGTCCCCAGGTAATTTTACACCAGAAAATTTCAATTGACCAGAACGATGCAAATTTTCCACCGTTAATGTTCCATAAAAATTGCTTCTCCAATCTTATGATTGATGCAGATTTCCTTTTTCCATTTTCCACCAGACATTTTCAATATAACTGGCTTCTCCTATCATCAGAATGTTGCAGATTTTCCACCAGCTTGCCCCATATTTTCAGATTTTTCATCATAAATTTTCAGTAAAGCAGCTTCCTCCAATTATTAGAATGGTGCAAATTTGACTACCTTTTTCTCTATTCAGCAGTTCGATTAATTTAATAAAGATTTCAGCAACTCAACAAGAACTTTAAGATACTTCAGAAAACTTTCGGTAATTTCAAAGATCTTCGGGAAATGTCTGAAAACTTCAGGGCAGTGCAATGGACATTAGGTAATATAAGCTTTCAAATGTTTGATTAGCTTTCAAATAAACATCAGTATAATAAATCAAAAAATGCACTTTTTTTGTAATTGAAGTTTTTAACAGTTTTCTTAATTTATTGACAAAATATTGTGATTTTTTTTTCAGTATGTATTTTCTTTTTTTTCGGAAAAGGCAATCTACTTTCTACAACTTTGACTCAGAAGTGATTTCGATTAAATGACCCGTTTTCGTGCATCGATTTATTGAAAAATATCGAATACGCCATTAAAAAAAAATAGCTTTGAGTCAAACTTGATGAACAATTTTGCAAAGTTTCATGAAATTCGGAGAAGGAAAAATAAAATCGATTGGTCAGTTGGTGCAAAACTCAGAGAATTCCGTTTGAACTTTTGAGTTGCCACCCAGTATGACGAAATATAAGCGGTGCAAAAGCAGGCACATAGCCAGGTGTGGCTCTGAAGGGTAACATTTGACCATTATGATAGTTTAAAAAAAGTAGACAGTCTAGTGACTAGGATGATGATGATGATGATAGTGGTCTACCACTCATTGCAGCACGGAAACTAGTCCGATAGCTATAGGCTCTCCTCTCGGTTGAACTTGAGCAAGCTAATAACCTCTGATTGTCATCAGAAAATCGCTGTATGGAAGGCCAAAAGACATAGTTAAGAAGCACCTTCCAACAACTCGATCAGCCAATTGGTCAGAATACGAGCCATCCAACAGGGAGATGCCTTAATGAATGGAGAGAAGAGCCCGCCATTTATCCACGAAATGTTACCATCAGTTGACATCTTCACTCTCCTCATCCAAATCGCTTTAATTGGGTGCCCTCCCAACAAACAATTTTCACAATGTAAACGCTTTACTCATTTCATTTATACAGTCGCAAGCTGTATTCAAATGTTATACGATATGAGGTAACCTTTACTCAACCTCTATACAAGCAAATCTGGCGAACTTAGTCAGCTACTTATGGCTGTTGGAACGGTCGAGAGAAGCTCTTATTGCATATCCATTAACGCTTTTATACAGTTGTTATCCTGCTGTTTAGTTGTGTGTGAACTTGAAAGGCGCTTATTCAACCTTTTCCCAGTTGTCCAATAATCACTACACAGCTTTCTCTTGAAGCCGGGTTAAATACTGTTTACGCTTTTTTATGAAGGAATTTATTGAGTTTATTTTGCTGTGAGAATCGAATTAATCGAAATTAGTTACAAATCATCACCAAATTATTTACCCTGCACCGGAACCTGGAATCGAACTCGAGACGACCTCATTGGCAAACCTTGACACTACCAACTGTGCTACGCCAACACTTTAAACTTATGTAAACAAATCAACATTCCCTTATACAACAAAATCGCTGAGTAGAGACTTTATAATAGTGCACATGAATCACTTTTCTCGACTAGTTATAAAAGAGCAGAGTAAAAGCTGTAAAACTGCACACGTCTAAAAATAAATCTAGTTGACTGTGAAAATGCTTCCGAAGTTGCTCTAACACAGTTTATAAGCTGAGTACAGGTTGTTTAGTTGTTGAAAAAGCACTTTTGATGTTTATGTTATTCAGCAAGAGTTGTTGGTTGTGTAGAAGCCATCAAATAAGGAATATATTCACTTTGTTAGCTTTGTTTTGCAGCTACAAGTGGAAAGTTTATTAGTGTGTGTATAGAAGTGACATGAACGTTTATTGGCTGATGTTATTCAGTGCGACTGACAAATTGAATAATGGTTGTGAGAAAGTTGAGTAAACGCTCTTCAAAACTATTTTGCTAGCTTTTGCTTGTAGCTGTATCTGCAGCTTCTTTTCAGCTACTTTACAGCACAACGCTAGAAAAGTTGGCTTACAAAGCTGAAAATGTTTGTTGGGCTGATGGTCCCTCCTCATCCCGAATTTTTGATATATTGTAATATTTAATAGAATAATCAGATAATCAGAAGCATACCGTCTACAGAAATATGCGAGTCGATTGAAATCTGCCGAAAATAAATGAGGGCTGAGTTGATTCTTAACATAGAAATGTAGATGCATAGTTCACCATTCACTCCTAGACACTAGCGAACCGAATCCTAAATTTCCTCACCATACCTTTCGCAGGATTCTGGATAGCTTGAAAATTCCCTCTGTCCAGCGGTCAGGATTCCACATCAGCGACATCCTAGAACTGAGCAGTCACAGTACCCAAACGCCCAAGGGGTATTCCCACCTACAGCAGGGCCCTCCTGGTAGTACGCCGCCTCCTTCCTCCGATCAACAGTCAGCCCGAGGCGGAGGCCCGGGTACCAGCGAGTATCCGTCCCAACAGGACCCAGACGAACAATCTCATCTAGCTCAGTACAACAGTTCCGGCGGTGGGTACATCCCGCTACAAACGGTACCAGCCCCGCCGCCGGCCTACGGTGATCTTCCGCCGTACTATCCTCATTCGCATCATTTGTTTACCGGTTCGTCCGGAAGTTTATGCAGAACATGGTATTACGACAACGGTAGCGCCGATTATGGTAAGACCAAATTTTCTTTCTTACTTAGACACTTGATCATTTTCCCGTTCCAGTACCTGCAGTAATTCAACAGAACATTGAGAATAACATCAACCAACAAGTTAGTCCAGACAGTACTTCGCCGGTGGTGGAGCCCTCCTCGTACGTCACCATAGGCAACTACAGTAACATCCCGACGGCAGTCATCGAAACCTCCGACCGGCTAGCCTTGGATCACTCGTCTCAGGAAGGGGGACCACGTACAATCGACAGCAACAATAACACGTGCGATGGGGAATCCCTGGACGATAGCATCGAGGTTGGGAACTCCGGGGATGACCGTGCCGGAAGTGACACCGGTGCGGGAGGTAATGCGGGGGGTGGTGGTAATCAGAAGAAACGGAAGCGAAGGATTCTGTTCTCCAAATCGCAAACCTACGAGCTGGAGAGACGGTTCAAGCAGACCCGGTACCTGTCGGCACCGGAGCGAGAACATCTGGCCAGTATGATCCATCTTACGCCGACGCAGGTAAAGATTTGGTTCCAAAACCATCGCTACAAGACGAAACGGGCTCAGATTGAGAAGAGTTCGTCCAGTTTTGCGCACCAGATTGGAAATTCACCGAAACGGGTCAGTGTACCGGTGCTGGTGCGGGATGGGAAGCCATGTCTGGGGTCCATGACGGGCATGATCGGGAAGACAGGAGGACATGATGGACAGCAGCAGCAGCAGCAGCAGCAGCAGCAGCAACAACATCAGCACCAACAACAGCACTTCATGTCAGGGGGTCTTCATTCTTTGATCGGCGTGACAGCGTCTGAACACGGCAGTATCGGGATCGGATACCAACAGGGCGGGCAGGGTATCATGCAGAACCATGGGGCTTCCGCTGGCGGTAGATGGTGGCCTTGAGCTGGGTAGTTGGCAATATTTCATGTGATACATTTGTGAAGAGTTAAGTATATTGTAATTTTAAAAAGAGAGTCTCTATCAGATGTTATGTATTCCGAACGGGTCCATGACGGGTCCAACACGTGCTGTCCAGCGTTGGATCAGGATTTATTATACTCAGTCTAGGAATATCCTGAGAATCTGAGTGAAACTGCTCTCGTTTTTCCTTATATTCTTAAAGTTTTTGCTGGAAAATCGAGCAAAATTTTACTCAGTCGATGAGTAACCTACATTTTTGCGAATTTGAGTGAACGAAACTAAAATGGTTTAATTGGTTTAATCGGCCAGTTGTAATTATTCCGGAAATTCCTTAAAATTTCCCCCAGAATTCCTTTAGAATAACGTTAATAATCTCCAATTTCGGAATAACGTTAATAATCTTCAGATAATTCCTTTGGAATACTCCTAATACGTTTCTTTGGAATTATCCTCAGAATAGAATTACTTGGAAATTTTCTCAAAATATCCTTGAAACTCTCTTCGGAATCATCTTTCCAATTTCCTTGGAATTCTCCTGTGAATTTTTTTGAAACTACCCTCGTGATTCGATTCATTTAGAACTCTCCTCAGTATTTCTTTGAAATTATCGTCAAAATTTCCTTTAAAATGCCTTCCGAATTCTCTAGGATTTCATCTGGAATTCTCCTCACAATCATGTTGGAATTCTAGCTCAGAACTACCTTGGTAGTTATTCACAATTTCCTTGAAATTCTTCTCAGAATCACCTTGCAATTTAATTTTGAATTCACTTGGAATGTACCTTTGAATTCCCTGGGAATTCTTCTCATAATTCCCTCTGAGGTAAACCAACATTACCATGGAAGTCGAGTCAGAATTCTTTTGGTTTTTCCCCCCAGAATATCCGTGCAAAATTCCCTTGAAATTGTCACTGGAGTATCTTTGAATTAATTTGCTCAGAAACCAACATCACAATCCTCCAGATAATAATTTAAATAACCATAATCCTATATTTTTCTTTCAAGCCCCAGAGCCTTAAACATTTTCCAGGGAACATACACGAAACGAAAATCAATTATTTTATTCTGTTGTTTCACTTATACATTTTTGCCAAAACAGCCTTATATATTCCATAAGACAAACCACATAGGTCCTACAAGAACGCATAAAAGGTATGTGTGACCGCTTATACATTTCATTTGACACATGAGCTTCATTAACTTTTTGCAAGGCGTCTGCTTATTAGTTGACTTATACATTTTATGAATAATCAGCAATAGAAATTTGCCAAAAGGTATAAGGAGATTTCCGTGTAATCTTTTTTTTTCTAATCTAGGATCTACGAAATTTTTCAAAATTTGGCAACTTAGTCTCAAATTAAAATTTCACAAAATTTGAGATTAAAGTATTGACCCGATTTTGAAATTGTTTTCTAATATTCTACGAAATCCATGCAGTGGTCTTATTGCACCAAAGTACACTGGAGTCGCTTTTTACGCGGGTGATTCGTCCCGCGTAAAAAAAAACCGCGTTAATTCCGGAATCCGCTTTAAAAAAAACCGCGTAGATTCCGAAATCCGCGTAAAAAAACAGCGTAAAAAGCGACTCCAGTGTATACCTTAATCATCCATCTTGAACATGAATGAGAAAGAATTGGAATTAGGACCAGTTCTTGTCAAAATAACGATAAAAAAAATAAATTTTTGGATCGACCTTCTCCGATTTGCATGAAGCTTTGCTTAATTGTTTGTTATGGGAAATGATCCACATTTTTTTTTGTTAATATTCAGCCATTTTAACGGCGTTTTTTAAACAAACGATCAAATTGACGTCAGAAAACAAGCAGAGCCGATCTTGATACCCGATCCAGGTTGGAACAGAATAATAAACAATCAAAACCATAATTTGCATCATCACAAATACACCTTTCAAGTCAAAACTAACTTAGAGTTCTTCCTTAAACTTCCTAGGAAAGTTTCTCTAAAATTCCTTGGTGTTATCTCCTGTGATGCACCGAATAGAGCTATTCTACCAGGCAATTGACGCTTGCACCAACATTTTAACTGATATTATTTCCCACCTAGCTAGTTCTACAAAGTGACTGCATCCTGAAAATCAACTTCAGCTCAAGAGTTTTTTTAGATGTTCCCAGTGAAACTCAGTTCCTTTAAGGGGATCCCTTATCCACAAATGATTCAAAATATTTATACATACATACAGCTTAATAGTGAATGTAATATAATGATAATAATAATAATAATGAGTGCAATTCTTAAAATAGTAGTTTACTAATTTATATCAAGAGTTCTTTGATTTTTGATTTGTAATGTTGCTTCAAATTGGTTTTCAATAATAATCGATTGTTCAAAGTTTTCTAGCGTTCAGGAAGTACGTTATATACAGATGGACCATAAAAGGAGGTTCGTATTTGACCAAGGCATATAAATGCCCTAGAACGAATTAAATTATTTGCATACCGAGTGTTGTGATCATGATTTGCGATCGGTAAGATGAGGTTACGATGCATGTTCGGGTTTTGACGTAGGACTACGTCTGTGATTTCTATATGGGGGTACACTTTGTGAAAACCGAAAATGGAACATGTAGCAAAATTATGAAAGATTTTTAACGTTAATAACTCAGCTGTCTTTGGACAAATTTCAATAATTTTATCACCAATCGATCAGAAATATTTCTACGCATCTTTTAAATTTAAGATTTTATCATTTTTCAAAATGTTACTATTGAATATTTGCTCCAATGTGCAACTGTTGCTATGATTATCACCGATTGCCTGCTAAAAGCGATTCCCCTAACACAGATTTCAAAGTTGAACTCTATCCGGTCCCACCATACGGTGTTTATTCAATCAATGGTAGTAGTGTTCTCCAGTACACAACGAAAGGCTACCTGCAAGCAGCGAGCTGCAGCCCGCATGAACATCCATAGAAGAAGGAAGAAGCCGCACCGCTATTGATCGGAATCAGTAGCTCTTCGTGAGTCGCTGTGGGTCATCTATGTCAAGCGCGTCATACTTAAGAGTATAAACAGAGAGAACTCCGCTCAAATTCATTTTCCTACACAACACACAAGCTGCAGTTAACACATAAGATTTATTATATAAGACCTCGTAGTCCTACGTCACCATTGCGTACAACCCCATAGGGCTGTCCTTTGTAGTTTTTTAGCGTATCGTATATAAATAAGCAAGATTGCAATTTACACAAACCACGTAATGGAAGAATACTGTGCGATGTGTTGGTGTAAATATTTAAACATTGGTTTTGCAATATTTGTAGTTTTTTATCTTAGCTTTGCAAGCATGTCCCCAAACAATGATTAGGTATTGCAGAGCGAGCACTCCTGGGCACAAATTTGCTAACACGATACATTAAGCCACAAAGAGACGAATTGTTCCTTTGGACGTGTTCTATATGATCACCCCAAAAGAGGATCTAACACCAAACCTAAAACGAGACATTTTTCCAAGGTCCAAAATCTTAGTTTTGAGAAGACGATCGAAATTTCCGGCTTTTTCCCGGTTCACTGGTCACCCTGATAGAGATTGTTGTAGGAATTCCTAAAGTAAAGAGTTACAGAGTCGCCGTCAACGCCAATAGAAGTTGTGGGACATCCTAGGGAAGTTATGACTTCTTCTTTTCTCTTTCACATATCAAGTTTATTGTTTATCTCATATTAGCTTATTGTGTGCTCTCAACTAAATGTTCTAAATGCACTTCCACAGTTATTAATTGAGAGCTTTCGATGCCAATACCAGTGCATGAATTTATATATTGTGTAGCAAGCGCAATAATATCCTACGCCCAGGGAAGTCGAGAAAATTTCCAACCCGAAAGATTCCCTCGACCGGCCCGGGAATCGAACCCGCCACCTCCGGCTTGGTAATACCAACAATCAATACGAAACTAACGATTTTAAATTGGCTCACCACTTTAGTAGCCTATTGGTCCCAAGCAAACGATTAACGTACCCTATTCTAGTTGAAATTCTATTACTACACTATGTTTGTTTTGATTCGCTATGAAAGTTTGACAGATAACATCAGGGGTGTGTGGATTCATGCAGAACATGCAGGGGTGAGTGAAATAGCTTGGGACTGCTTGGGACCGTTGTTCTGGTACTGAGTGAGCCAAAAATAATAATGATTTTCTTCGGGACCCAGTGGTCTTAGAGTTACCTCTACGGTAATACCATAGAGGTAACTCTAAGACCACTGGGTCCCGAAGAAAATCATTATTATTTTTGGTTCACTCAGTACCAGAACAACGGTCCCAAGCAGTCCCAAGCTATTTCACTCACCCCTGCATGTTCTGCATGAATCCACACACCCCTGATGTTATCTGTCAAACTTTCATAGCGAATCAAAACAAACATAGTGTAGTAATAGAATTTCAACTAGAATAGGGTACGTTAATCGTTTGCTTGGGACCAATAGGCTACTAAAGTGGTGAGCCAATTTAAAATCGTTAGTTTCGTATTGATTGTTGGTAATACCGTGCCTTTACTGACTAGGCTATGACCCAGGTAACAAATTGATGCTTAACGAGTGTTCTTTCAACGGTTTTAATTCAGTCTTAGTTTGAATAATTGTTGTACATAGACCACTTTAACCTTTGTTCAGCTTTTAAACACCTAAATCTGGTGATTTTAATCAGCCCAAAGCTTAACATCAATATAAATTATAAGCTTTTCAAGGCATTAACCAACAGTCTTTTCCAACCCTTGTTCAGCCTTCATGTTTTATTAAAAAATAAATAATGGAATACAGATTCATATCTTATACTTTTTATGAGAGAGCTTTAGAATGTTGCTGACTAATTGGAAAAACATATTTATATTGTTATTATATGTCTAAAAATAACCCTTTACATTTCGGGATTCGAACCGGCAGTCGCTGATTCACAGGCGTCAACTATACCCACTCGACCACATGAGCAGATTTGTGGAAAAAGGTATGATCATTAACTTGTAGCACGTCAAAATTAAATTGAATAATAGCAACTAGAAGAGCATTATACAGCAAT